GGTTTGGTTTGGTTTGGTTTGGTTTGGTTTGGTTTGGTTTGGTTTGGTTTGGTTTGGTTTGGTTTGGTGATTTCCTGCACCAGCAGGAGGTATTCAACCACACACTTGAACAAAGGGCTAATGAGGCCACCGAAGTGGAGATCAATAAATAAGCCATAAAACATTTAATGACATACAGAGCAGCTTCTGCATCTATTAGATAAAATAAGTTAAGAGAAAGTCCAATAATTTTGTTATATTGACCAAAGCTTCCCCTGCAGGCTACTGGACCCAAGCCACACACATGGGATTGCACCCAACACAAAGTCTTCTCTGACTCCGTCATGGTCTATAATTTATACCGCTTCCCCTTTCTCCAGGTTGATTCCTATTTCTGTATGTTCTTCTATTAGCAATAAAATTTCAAGCTCTGTCCCGCCTCTGGGCATAACACTTCAAAAAGTATGGAAAAAATATGCCAAGATTGAGAAAGAATATTCTAGATCATTATCTGTCTTGATTTTAACTTGGCAAGATATGCAAACCCACCCATTATAATCTACTGTTACAGGTGAACCAGGCTATTACAGCTTACTCCGCAGACCTTGATTTAAAATACTATCATAGTACTGTGTTTGAATCCAACCAATTCAAAACACAAATTTTCTGCTAGATCTCAACCCTTATGTCATAAAAATCATAAAACCAGTCTGTATGAAAATGCAACAACTGGAAGCCTTTTGAACATTCAAATATTTTCCCTTTGGAACCAAGAATTGCATAAACAAAATATTGCTCAGAATAATTACCTGATTAGAGTGTGATCTTTGCCTTTTGAATTTAAGTGGCGTGGAAGCAAAAGGACAAGGAATGCAGATGTGGCTGAATAAGCCATGCTGGAATTCCTTTAAGCTTACTCTGCCATCTCCATCACTATCCAATTTGTTAAATAATTCTTCAAGTTCCTATAGAAAAGATAAGGTTTTTAAAGCATTGTACCGCAAGCGTTCATTTAGTTTAATTAATTTGGGAATTGAACAGCACATAAATCAATATTCAACAAGGTTTAGTTAATGCAACAAGCAGAGTCTAGTACTCATAACCTGGATAGAATCTAATATGGGTTAAACGCCTAACCATCTCACGCTACAGCGGTTTAGCATATGAAAGTTCAAAGTGGGCTTTACCACCAAAGATATCCAATGGTCTACTAGTTGGAAACTCTTAACTTTCTCTGCATAGAATAAAAGAAAAAAAAGTCCTTGTTTTCTTCATTCACAGAGAAAGACATTGTCTTCCCTCAACTGAAAAAAGAAGTAGTGTATTCTCTCCTACATGAAAGAAAGACTAAGATGTAAGACTTTCAGAGGGAAAGCTATCCTTCTCCAAAGCACCATTCCATGACTTTAAAGTAGCTTTTTGCTAAAATAGGGATAATCCAGACAGTTTCCCACTCCCAATGTAACCTAGATTACAATCCTCATTTGACTATGAAAATGATTGGATGATCATAAATCATTGCTCTTCCTTCCAGCCTTTCCACTGTAGAAGGAAGCTGTGAGAATAAAATACAGGAGGAAAATAGCAGCTTGCAAACCGGCAAGATATAAATATAGCATATGTAAAGCTTCTTCAGGTTTATTTAAAATACTGATGTACTATTGGGAGGCAATAATTACAATTGCTAAAACAGTGCAGAAAGAATACTTTGTACAGCTGAGGCCTTGCCAAAATGCTGAATATTCCATATGTAGCCACCATGTTCACATTCAGTCATCAAGTAGACTTTCTGAGATGAGAATTTCCAAAAGTCAAGTTTAACCCACCTCTTTTTCCATCTCTTTGAGTCCAATGTTCTTACAAACAGCATCCAGCTCTTGTTTGTTGAGGTATCCATTATTTCCAATGCCAAGATCTTCCCAAGTAACCCTGATCTGATTTTCAGTTGTGTTCAAACACGAGGTAGACAATCCTTCTCTAGGATTGTCGATGAGGTTATCCTCCCAGGTGCACATTTGACCTACAAAAGATTACTCTTTACATTAGCAAGAGCTGTACTACTAATTACTCTGTTGTCCTTATCAAAGACCATGTGTTATATAAATCCTCAAACCGAAAGCAAATTAAATTTATATTCTATTTTCAATTTTTCTCCAAACCCTTAATTTGGCATTTCTATTATCCATGGAAAATATTTTACATTTTTATATTATATAACACAGATATTACTTAAATACATTATTAAGTAGATACATCTTTCAGTTTTATTTTTTCAGTAATACTCAAAAAATCAGAAACAGATTCTTTTATCTCCACTCTCTTCCTGCTCCTATTTAATTCTAAATATGGATATAAGAGAAATCCACCAAGACAGAGTAAACCAGAATCTACACTGAATCAAGGCTTTATTACAAAAATTTCCTTAATGCTTTTTTCAAAAATGTAAAATGAATGCTGTTAAGGTTGTTAAGGAGTTGGTTTTGTCCAACTTTGGAGAGATGCAGGTGGATGAAGGTGAATAGAAGATGGCTGCCCAGTATTTTGCCTTTCCTAAAGTGTCTCTGGAGCAATTCAGCATTCATATTTTGTATTACATAAAACTGCATCAGAGAAACAAAGGACATTAAAAGAGCTACGAAAGAATATCAAAAATGCAAAGAAAGAATAGAGTTTCTTTGGGATTTTATGTGAAATAATTATGCCCACTAAATGAAGCCAAACTCAAAACTATTANAAAAAAATTGAATTTCACCACTGATATATAGGTAGTCCTCAGTTAATTACCACTAGTTCAGTGACCAATCCAAATTACAACATTGCTGAACAAGTGGTACACCAGTCCTAAAAGTTCTGCCTCCCCTAGCACCACTGTGGTCATATGACTGTGATTTGGGAAACCTGGCAACTGGCTCAGATGTTCTGCAGTCATGAGATCATCGTTTGTGATCTTCCCTGCCTGCTTCCTACAAGTAAAGTCAAGGGACCTTTGCAAGTTCATCAATCAGACTGAGTGGCTTATCCTTCCATGTCCAGTCAATGGCAGATACACTCCGTCCCAATCATCTTTCCATCCGTTTTTCTTATCAATATATTAAATTCCTTACTATGAAAAGCATCATGCTAAGAATTCCCAGGAAAACCATTAATGAAGAGCTGCAGATACCTTAAAAATCTCTTTGCAGTTTTCAACCCCTTCCCAGGCCCAGATGGAGACAACTTGCTCCACACTTGCAAAACCACTACCATCATTAATGCTGGAGAAAAGATTCAAAGCCACTGAGTTGGATAAAAGAGATGGAGTTGCAGTTTGTTGTCCATTGTCTTTCAAAATCTGCATGATGGAGGAATAAAACAGCGGTGGAGAGAGAAAAAGTAAGTGAGTCAGTTTAGATGAATGGGGAACAAACGTTTAGGAGAGAATTTTAAAACAACATGTAGTTATATCAGACAATCCTAAACTCATTATTTAGCAACAACATCTGGTTGACTTTGTCCAGAATGGGGAACTCAGCAGGCTGTGCCTGTTAAGTGCTTGATGAGAGATAACCAGTGAATTCCAGGTTTATTGGAGAGATTAGGAACTTGGGGGGGGGGACATATTAAAGGAAACTAATGGCAGTTCTGTAGAATTGCCACAAAAGTTGCAGAAATATCACCAGGAGTCAAGCCTAATTTGAAGGAGTTTTTATTTAAAAAAAATAATTTGTAGAAACCCACTTGGACTCAGTAAACATTGTTATCCTGTGTGGGGTGGTTTGGTGTTTGTTTTTTCCTTTTAAATCATCTTTGGAAATCTGCTTTTTCTTAAGCAGAACACATAATCTGGAAAGTTTGGTTTGGTTTGGTTTGGTTTGGTTTGGTNAGATTATAATGGTATATATAAATAAAACGCAGAAAACATATTCACAATGTTCAACTTAAACACTAACAAAAATAGCCTCAGTGAAGAGAGAAGATTTTGCTTAAAGTTGAAAACCCTCCCCCAAAGAAGGGATGTTGATCCAGTGGCCCCTTCACAGAAGCCATCTCTTCTGAGTAATCCTTTATTGAGGATCATTTAGTCAGATATTGTGCTGAATGGAGGAATGTATAAATGTGCAAGGCTGCCTGTCCTGTCCCCAATAAATAAATAAATGGTTGAACAAATGTGAATTACAAATCCAACTGTGTCATAGCTCAGACAAGATTCACTTATCAAAAGAAACTGATTCTGGCAATCTTTAGACATACCAAAGGGAAATAAGAGATTGGATGGGGAGGCAAATATAGGGGAATTAATACAAAAGAATTTACTATTATTTTAACTGAAATAATGGGAGCTGGTCTCTTATATGCTGTCATGAGAAACTCCCACTTGTGGTCAATTTGCTGATCTTTGGGATGTTCTGTTATTTTAGATTGGGGCAACACAGTCCAAATTCACAGCACTGCATAAATTGTGTTGTAACAGAAGAGATCCTAAACAGATCAATTCTTTTTTTAAAAAAACAGAGGAGTCTTCTACTCCAAAGCTTTTTAGGATTGAAGTATCAGTTTCCTTTAATTTGTAATATAACTATTACTTTCCAGAAATATAACCAAGAAAAACATGAGTAAAAAAATAGAAAACCCATCAGTCCATAGCCCCCAAAATTCTCAAAGCATATTCAAGCAGATTTTCATCTGATAGGAAAAAAAGGTTGACTCAAAAGCATTCTTGGCCATACAGCAGCCGTGCTAATGCTAGAAGGCATATTAAGAATGCTTGAATAAGCATTTCTACCACAGAGATGCTTATCATACACTTCTTTCAATGTTTTAGGGCCAAACCACAGACTATCATTTATCTCTTATTCCAGTTTCCAGCTGCTGGCTATTTCTTTTTTTCTCCTAAAAATCTAAGAAAAGCAAAGTAAGGGTCATGCAGAACTAAGGCACATTCTATAAACAGGCATGTCCAAACCATGGCCCACATGTAACATTATTACATGATTTTTAGCAAAAACAGATAGCTAAATAACCATACATACATACATGTACAATATATAAACAAATGATATTATATATTTTATATTTGGTCCAAGACAACTCCTCTTCACTCAATTCATCCCAGGCAGGCCAAAAAATTAGACCCCATGTTCTAAAAGGTATGTGTTTCCATAGTTTTGAAGTTTAGATTCTTAGGTGTAAATTTAGATAAAATTAAAATAGTCTCCTTCAAGTTGAGCTTTATTTCTGATTATCTATACACAAATTAGTCTCTGAGTAGAAACGCACAAGGTAGCTCAAATGTACAGAATTTTACAAATTGCCCTTAATCTAGTGTCCTCTAGGTGATGGGACAAGAGATAGTTCTTGACCAATAACTCTTCACTTAGTGACCATTCAAAATTACAATAGACTTCCCTCATGACCCCAATTTGGAGTTCTGAGGGGCCCCGCCCCCATAGTCATATGATCACATTTTGGATGCTTAGCAACCAGTCCATATTTACAGCTGTTTGCAATGTCCAGCAGTCACATGACCAGAATTTATTATTATTTTTAAATGGGAAATTAACATTTACTTCAGGTTTTTGGCAAAAAAAAAGCCTATTGCAAACAATGTTCACTTAAGAACTGACATTAATTTAACAACACTGCAGTGAAGGTCATAAAATCAGGTGCAGTCACATGATGATCCACTTACAACCAACACAATTTGCAACTGTAATTCTGGACTCAATTATGGTCATATGCCAAGGAGGACTTGTATCAGGGGTGGGTTTCAACCGGTTCGCAGCGGTCCCTGCGAACCGGTTGGTCGGCGAACCCGGAAGTAAGTAACTTCCGGGAACGGCGAAGGGCCCACCCGCCCGCCNCTGCAAATGCAATTCAATTTTTTGCCAATCTGTCTATCACTACCTTAATAATCCAGCTTCCCAAACTACATGTAAAATATAGATCCTATGATCTTTTCCCAGAGTCCAGAGGAAAATGGACTAATAAGTATCAAGCTAGGCAATAGGGAAATTATTTTAGCCTGAGGATTAGCCTACAGTGAGTGGGAACAGTGTCCAAAGTGAGTGAAAGAACATCCCCGTAGATGTGCAATTTCGGAGTTTATACACAGTGAGACTTTAAAATGGCCCCCACTGACAAGGGAAGCTATTTTAAAGCTAGGCTGTAGAACCTGTGGCAGTACTTAAGAAAATGGTTGAGGAAGAGGAGCTACTGTAATTTCTTTCTGAGATATTTTTCTTCTCTAAGAATATGAGTTCAGATGTGCAGAAAGGCTCTAAGATAAGAAACTAGCTTGGATTGCCTTCCATGGATTCAGTCTATACGTTTACCTTATCCATTCTTATGGCTGGGGTTGAAGAGCAGAATTTGAATCAGAGAAGCTTTGTCTGCAAGGAATATACTCTGCCTTTCCAGTAGAACTTTACCCTGAGCTCATCTACTGAATTGGATGGCAAAAGTGGAAATTCAAGAAAAGAAGCAATAAAAAAACATGTTTCAATGTTTGCTACACATTCTCTTGCTGAACCCCACCTTGGCCTTCAAAGGTCTGCTGTTGTTCTTCTTTTGAGTTTTCAGCCTCTTCATCTGATTTGAGACTCTAAAAAAGAGAACTGAATTTAATGTTCCATAGATTCAGTCCAATAGCCAGAATGAAGGGTAGAAAAACAAGAAAAGACAAAACAAGGGTGAAGATTGTATAAAGCTGCCAATACAACTTCAAATTAACTATGCTTCCTGCAGACATCTGACTTTTTCCAGTGGCCTAACATAAGATACAATTATAGGGCAATTTGACAATGTGTTGGAGAAGTGACTCTCCTTGAGATTGAATGCTGTGGTGGTCATTAAATGCAAGGACTCATTGTAAATTTATTTTTCAGAACTATCATACTATCCAATGGTCACTGACAGAGCAATCATTAAGAAAGGACTATCTATATAACTCAGTTTTATAGAGGCTGTCATATTAGGAAACATCAAATTTGACTCTAAAGAGACATGACTTTGCTTCTGAATACCAGCCAGGTTTTGGGCACTCCTGAGCATCTGGAAGAAATCAGGATACAGAAGAATTCCAGAGACTGAGATGGCTATTTCGTCAAGTCCAAGGTACAAACGTAACAAAAGGAACCATTACAAAACAACATGAGTGATAGTAAAATGTAACACAACCATTTCAAATAGTTTGAAGATAGGTCTTTAAATACCTCCACACTTTCCAAAGAAGTTGAATGTCTGAGCTGACTTTTTACATTTATATTGTTCTGCTCCTCTTGTAAATATTTGGGGGTTTCCAACATGGCATTTTCAAGTTCTGGCCTTGTCCGGCAACTATACCCTTTGGCCCCAGTGATATACTTGAGCTGAGTCTCACCTGGAATAACTAAATTGGAAATACTTTCAGTTCTAATACAAGCAGTAATATATGTCCCCTCCTGTGAACCTTCTTTTAATCCCAAATAAAGTTTTTAAAAACATCACCAACAAATTATGAATTCAAAAACTTGAGCTGTTGAGGCCCACTATATTAAACTACTTATACATGCTATTTAATACTGGTAGTAGTCAAAGTTTTCACTCAAAACATTCACCATGGAACTATGCCCAGAGCTGGTGAGCACAATTGAGAGGATGTCACAAGGTACATTTAAGAACTTAAAGCTAATCCACTCAGGAAACGTCCCAAAGCCATCTAATTCACTAAGGTAGGTAGGCATTTGGATCCGATCTAACATTTTTCTTTTCTTTCTTTTTTGCCAATTTTAGCACCATTGCCCCAAGAATTGTTCAGTTTTTCCACTATTGGCATAACTCATTCACAGTTGCAGTTTCAAGGGTTTCATGTCTTTCAACAGTGCCCTTTTGATGTCTCAAATTATACTTTTTTCTTTCAGGTGTAACTTGTAAGTTTACTTTCTTATATCTGTTATGCTAAAATAGTGGAAGACATAGAAAATAAGTAAATGTTGAAATCAATAAATATACTGGTAACTGTTGTAATAGGATTACGGAGACCCAGGTTCAGATCTCTATTCAACCATGGATCTCAGTGGATCATTATGTACTAATCTTTCATTATCAGTGTGATCTACCTGACAGGAGTTATTGTGAGATAAAATAGGGGAGACCCAGATAAGTTGTCCTGACATCTCAAAGAAAAGGTAGAATATACAAATAATTAGAAGGGTATGCCACCAGTCCTCTTGATAATATCCCATTTACACACATAAACTTTGTATTAGCTAATGTATATGAAAGAACATAGAGGAAACCATTTAAACTTATTGTTCATGAACTTGAGAAATGTATATTGACAAAACAACAACTATTATGTTCTTATCTCTGGGAATTTCATTATAGAAAGACAACTGGTTTAAATGCACAAAAGCTTACTTTTTATCATTTCCTGAAATCAACCAGTACAGACAAACTCAATAAGTAATCTTTGCTAACTATGTTTCATTAGTAATCCATCAGGTAGCAAATCATAATAAGATACATCGATTGGTGGCTAATCTATAACACAGCCAAATTTAAGGCAGAAAATCTAAAACAAGATAGAAAGGGAATATTTGTAGCTCAGGATTAAATTGTGAGGTCCTTGGTGCTTTATGAGCTTGATAGTTTTCTTGCAGACGTTTGATTACTAAATTAGGTAAGTAACCTAGCAGTGATTACCTAGTTTGGTAATGACAAGTCTGCAAGAAAACCACCAAACTCAGAGAGCANGAACCGGTTGGAACGGGGTGAGAAACCCACCCCTGACTTGTATCTACTACTTCTTAAAAAAGAGATCTGAAGCATCCAGACTTGGCTTCTGTTGTGATAAAGCTGAGGAAAGTGGACCATTAATCTGATCAATTGAAAACATAATAAACTCTTAACAGAACATTAAATGTCAATGTTGAAGTATATAATATTCCAAAATTGCAATATTAAAGAAGAGACCGACGGAAAATAATCAACAGATAAAACTATACAAAAAAGGAAAGAAAAACCTAACCATATATTAAATGGCAATATGGAACTAAAGGAGAAACCGGACAAGGCAAATTTTATGAGTTCACAAAACTGTTTGGGACTGGCAAAGGAACAGGTATCTGCACATACATTCACACTCCATGCCTAACAGCAATGTCTCCACAAAAGTAACACTTAATCGTCTTCTCCAGTTAAACATGAAAGACAAATGGATTTAGGCTTTGCTTTTCAACAGAATGCTGTCTTGTCCTTTCAAGTCAGAATTAAAATAGTTTTATTAGCTTCTGGGCTGAAGCATGACTTTTGCTTTCTTTTCCCAAAATATTTCAACATACTTCTAAAATGTAACATCAGAAAAATAATACATTTCCTGCCAATTTTTTTCTATTATTGGAAATCCTAACTGCTCCCATCGCAGTAGTTGTCTGAAAATTCTGCTGTATTCTAGGGTAGTAAAGTACCTTTCAGTTAAAATTCATCTCAAAGCTCATAGAAGAAAAACAAAGTACATGTGTATTCATAACATGTTGAAAACAGTATAGGAAACTAAACACTTATCAGCGCAAATAGCTAACAATAGTTCTTTGCAAAACTAATGTTTACTCTCTGGGAATTACGTTACCAAGAGCATTAACACTAATTGTGTTTGTACAATTTTAAATTGGTTTAAATCTCAAGTTCAGCACAAATGTTTTGTGGGTAATAGCTTCCCTCTCCTTTAATCATTACTATGGGGACAGAGGTGGTTATTTTACTTATATCTGATGTTGGAAGTACCAATTACCCTTGATTTCCTTTTATTTGATTTCTCCCAAAAAAAAGGAAGTCTAAGACGAGCATTTCATACCCTGAAAGATAGCTGCCTATTCATATTCTCTTACCTGAAGACTTGCGGGGAAACCAAAAATTTCAGGAGTCTTCATAAAGCAAATGCCTCTGCTGAATGTTTGTTTTTATGCAGCATAAGCCGCTGCATGTTAATCATCTGATAAAGGGATAAGCATAGGATAAAGGGAAGCAGCTCCCGTTATATTAAAGGGGGGTAATTCTAACAGACTGGGTTAGAATTCACGTCAAAACATGCTAAAAGCAAGTCACTAAAGAAAAAGAAGACAACCTCCATATCCTGTCTGGAAAGTCTGGTTTTAAAGCAATGGATAAACCACCGTTTTTTTAATCGAGTATTGAAAAATAAAAAGTTTGAAGACGTGGAACCATAAGTAAAGCAAAAGCAATGTTTTCCTATCTCGATGAAAGCCGGAGGCACAGACCCACACACCCAAACCAACTGCCCCGCAAGGAGGGAATTAAAACCTCTCCTCTGAGGCCAATGTTTTTCCACACTTCACTTTCCTGTCTTGAGTTAAGGAGGAATATTGGGATCCACCAAAGTCTGGCACCGCGCAACAGCACGTACTTTTCTCCGGGATCCTTTACTAGCCAAGCAGCATCCCCAGCGCGCCAGGCACCTCTGAAGAAAAGCTCCCGGCGCCTTTGTCTCCCGGGAGTCTGAATACCAGCGTGCGCTCGGTTTCTCTCCTCAGGCGCCCCTCCCCTAGCGGCGGTAAGGAAGCGGCCACACGGGCTCGCCAGAGCTTCGGCCTCGCTCCCAGCTTCCTAGCCTCCTTGCAACGCATAGCCCAGAGGTCTTCAAACTTGGCAACTTTAAGACTTGTGGACTGCAACTCCCAGAATTCTCCAGCCAGCATATCTGGCTGGAGAATATCTGGCTGGAGAATTCTGGGAGTTGCAGTCCACAAGTCTTAAAGTTGCCAAGTTTGAAGACCTCTGGGCTATGCGTTGCAAGGAGGCTAGGAAGCTGGGAGCGAGGCCGAAGCTCTGGCGAGCCC